TTTTTTTTTTTTTTTTTTTTTTTTTTTGTACCAGGGATCAAACTTGGGTCATTGTGCTTGTAAGGCAGAATGCAGAACCACTGAGCTAAATCCTCAGCTCTCCTCCAGCTTTTTAAAAGGAATGTTAAATCATCTATTCCTGACTCTTCCCAGGCACCTCTATTCTGGCCAAAGCTGTCGCCTGCTAAAATAAGGGCCAATCTATGGCCTCTGCCAGCTCTACGCATCTAAAGATTTTCCATATTCAAACCTCTGCCATACATTGATCTGGCTTATTTTTAGCCAAAAGTATCTTGGGGATGAGTACAGAGTTCCAAGTAAGGTTTGAATTTCACTGGTGGCCCAAGTATGTAACTTCAGGCTGCCAAAGATCCAAAAGGCTCCTTAAATATAGCCTACAGTGCTTGAATCATGCCAAACTCCTGTTTACAAATGAGAAAACCAAGATCCAAAGAAGTGTATCATCTTCTTCTGATTCTATTTGCCTTTCAAGATTCAGTTTGGCTATCCACCCAGAAGCTCTTACTGTCATTAACCCCCAGTTTTGTTTCTTTTTTCTGGGGGTACTGGGGATCGAACTCTGGTCTTTGCGCTTGTGAGGCAGGCAGCAGAACCACTGAGCTAAATCCCTGGCCCTAACCCCAAATATTTACTGTGTGAGGTACCAGCCCCTGTGATAGGCACTTGGGATTCTCTAGCACAGAATGGAGACAAAAATCCCTGCCCTTACATAGCTTACATTCTAGCAGGGGAACAGGCAATACATAGTAAGTATAATAATTAAGTCATCCTGTATGTGAAAGGCTGGAGGAGAAGAGAAAAGATTCGTGGAGATCAGGAGCATCTCAGAGTGGGGGTGGCGGGGCTTGAGATTTCTAAATAGGCAGTCTGTATGGAGAAGGGACAATGGACAAAAACTTTAGGAGAAAAGGAAGTTCGCCAAGCAGAGCCTCCACCAGTGTAAACTCTCTTAGGTATCCCCATGCTGGCAAGCTCAAGTCATGGATGGTGAGCAGGCCCTCGAGGAGAGGGGTGGAGGGGAGCGGGCCATGCACAATGCTTCAGCCACTGAAGGGGCTCAGGCCACTGCAGGATCTGAGCAGAGTAGCAACAGGATTTGACTTCTCATGTTAAAAACCCACCCACTCTGGCTTGTAGGCTGAGGAAGAATATGGTACACAGATAGAAGAGCTCAGGTAAGAGGCAATGGCTGCCCAGTGGCAGCAAGTGGTTTGGTTCTGATTCTGTCTCGAGATAGAATGAACAGTATTGGTGGAGAGACTGGGTGACGTGTAAGACAGAATGTTGCTGAGGCCTTTTGTTTTTGTTTCCTTATTCCAAGTCTAAGCTATGTAGTTACATTCATATTCCAGTTCATCAAACTGTGTGGTCATTATTCATCTCCCATGTCTTAGTTTGCACTAAGATCTCTGAAAGCAGACGTGCTTTATCCACTTCTATTTCTCAGTGCCTATGACAGCATCTGATGAGTGTTTTGAATAAATGAATATTAAGTATGACACATGAACTCCTATCCTGTCTTTAGCATCTCCCTAGTAAGACTGAAGTCTGAAGGATAAAAGTACATTTGCTGATCTCTGCAGAGAAGTGGGGTCTGGCTCCCAGTCTAAAAGTGCAGGTCTAGCTGGGGATTTAGCTTAGTGGTTCTGCCACCTGCCTCACAAGTGCAAGGTCCTGAGATTGACCCCTGATACCAAAAAGAAATTTAAAAAATAAAAAAATAAAAGTGCAGGTCCAACTTGCTGACCTCCATCTCCAGGTTGTATTCCTTTTCTACTGTTGTGTGTGATATTGCAAAATACGTATTTGCTCTGTCTTGTCTCTTGGCACACAGCTCCCCAAATCCTTGGACTGTCTGTAGTGGCAAGAGTGTCTTTCTTATGCTAATGTGATGATTGACTCTGAAGTAACCATGGGATAGGGATTGGTCATTGGAAAGTTCAAGGTACAGTTAGAAGGTTGGGACTTGTAGCTTCACCCTTCAACCTCTAGGGAGAGGGGAGGTACTGAAAGATTAAATTACTCACTACTGGCCAATTACTTAATCACACCCACATAAAAATCCAACAGGACTGGGTTCAGGTGGGAGATGCAGAAGGATGGAGCCCCCGGGAAGGAATGGAAGCTCCACAACCCTTTCCAAACACCTCACCCTATACAGCTCTTCCCCGGGGTCGTCCACCTGCATTTTTTGTAATATCCTTTATAACAAGTAGGCAAATGTAGGTGAAACATTACCCTGATTTCTGTGAGCTGCTCTAGCAAATTAATCAAGCTTGAGGTTAGAGCTGTGGGAACCCTTAATTTGCAGCCAAACTATAGTTGACATCAAGTGGGGGGGGCAGTCTTGTCACACTGAGCCCTCACCTTGAGGGCTCTGACACCATATTCAAGTAGACAGTGCTATAATTAAGCCAGAGGACACTCAGCTGTGTCAGCTGAGTAGGTGGATCAGTGCTCCCTTCCCACACCTGACATCACAAGTATCAAGTGTATCGTTTGGTGACCTGAGTAGTCAATTTCCAGAATTACCATGGAGAAACCAGTGTTTCCTTCATATCTTACCCTGTGTAACACATCATCACAAAACTAGCAGCTTAAAACACACCTTTACTATCTCACAGTTTCCATGGGCAGGGAGCTGAGGCACCCTTTGTTAGATCTCATAGGCTGTAATCAAGACACCTGTTGAGAGCCTGGAGTGGTAGCACACACCTGTAATCCCAGCACTCTGGGAGGCTGAAGCAGGAGGACAACAAGTTCCAGCCCAGCCTGGGCAACTTAGTGACTTAAAGAGAATTTATTTCAAAATAAAAGTTTTAAAAAGGGCTGGAGAAGTAGTTCAATGTGAAGGCCCTGGGTTCAATCTCCAGCACAGCAAAACACAACACACATATACATACACACACATCAGCTGTATTCTCACCTGGAGTATCTAATGCAAAAGAATCTGCTTTTAAGGTCATTTGGATTGTGGGCAGAGTTCATTCCCTTGTGGTTGTAGAACAGGGGGCTTCAGCTTTTAGATGGTTGTTGGTCAGAGGAATCCTGCCATTCCTGGGGGTCACCTGCAGTTCTTGGCTATGTGAACATCTTCAACATGTCCACTTAATTCATCAAGCTGCTAGGAGAGTCTTCACTCTGATAAAAATTGTGTGTATCAGAGTAATCACAGGCTTGATGTCTTACCACCTTTGCTTTATTCTGCTAGAAGCAAGTCCTAAGGACTGCCAGGGCTCCAGAGGAGGGGATCACACAAAGACTTCTACCAGGAGGTGGGAATCATGGAGGGTCCTAGTGAATTTCATCATTAGAAATGTGTTCCTTTTTCCTATCTCAACAATTCTGATCCGTATCCCTCTGGCATAGCCTGGTCCATAGACCTGCACAGTTTAACGCAGTAGTAACTAGACCCTAATGTAGCTAGTGAGACTGAAGAACTGGATTTTTAATTTTTAAAAAATTTTAATGAATTCCCATTTAATTTTAAAACTGATTCTAAACTCAGTTATTGGAAAAAAATCCATGTGTTGAGAACAACTTATGAGTCCACTTTTTTTTATCACAAATCTTATGAAATCTAGTATCTCCACTGAAAATTCCGTATTCAAACTGATAGGCTAATTGTAAAGTACACTAGATTCCCAAAACTTAATGTAAAAATTTTTAAAAGATTACATGTTGAAATGACAATGTCCTATATATATTAAGTAAAATACGTTATTATTATTATGGGAGGGTAGTGGGGATTGAACGCAGGTCCTTGAGCTTGTGAGGCAGGTGGCAGAACCACTTAGCTAAATCACCAGCCCAGTAAAATACATTATTAAAAGCAACTTCATGTTTTTCTATTGGTTTATGTTTTTAAAAACCAGAATAACCAGAACATTTAAAATTACCCATGTGGTTTATTGCTTGAGCAAATAGAGCTTAAGGGTCTGAATTTGGAATTGGGTGGGCAAGACACCAATGTTAGCTAATTATGCATGGCAATAGCTGATTAATATTAACATTAAAAAGGGACAGAAAGATAGGGCCATTTAACCGGTAGGAAAGTTTGAGAGAACACAAGGTCTCCCCAATAACCCACGCGTGGGAGGAGGCGCTGCTTAGCAGCAATGACGCCTTTCTGTACCCTTTGCCTCGCGCCGGCCGTAAACGCGCTGCGCCGTTTGACCCCAGCGCGGCGCCGTAGGCCACACTGCAAGCCGGGCGGCAGAGATGGCTGATGTGTCGGAGAGGACACTCCAGGTATCTGTGCTGGTGGCGTTCGCCTCCGGAGTGCTCCTGGGCTGGCAGGCAAACCGGTTGCGGAGACGCTACCTGGACTGGAGGAAACGGAGGCTGCAAGACAAGCTGGCTACAACGCAGAAGAAGCTGGACCTGGCCTGAGAGTTGGTGCCATGGGTCCTAGCCTGGGCTGGCCTGAGCCGGGCTCCCCTCACCCCAACATCGGCGGTGTGGAGCGCTTCCCGAGCGCGGGTGAGCAGTGCAGACAGTGGCGCCTAAGGGGTCTGAGGATACCTTTCTATGAGGTAGCTCATAGCAATTGATTCGCACCCTCAGACGCTAGAAAATTGAAATGGTTCTCTCCAATAACCTGTTCTTCAGTATTAACTGTTTAGTTCGCTGCATATAGTTAATGGGAATGCTTTACCGCGGACATTGTAGTTGCGCCCGGACAACATTTAACTTCAAAATAGAAAATAATGAAAAGCCCCAAGTTAAAAAAAAAAAATTGTGAATGTGTTTCTGCTACTTCCCTGCCCAGCATCATTCATTTTGATAGCCCTTGGTAGCACTGTAGTACATCTTGGCGTGGAGGTTTTGTAAACTCCAACCCAAATTCTTTCGGATAAAGTGTACAGAACTTTGGCCTGGAAGTCAGAAACCTTGCGTGCAGCAGTTGTTTTCATCAGAGTTGTGCACCGTAAATTTTCAGGGCCTCGGTTTTCTTGCCTGTAATACCAGATCTTATAGTTCATCATGTAATGCAATAATTAGAAGTTAAAGATTACCAATTACTAATTTCCTTTTCTCCTGTCTCCCACAGCTTGTCAATGATGGATGTAAAGCACTGGAAAGAAATAATTTCTTACTGCACTTTATGAATCTATTTTTAAAATTAAAATATCTTAAACGTCTTTGGACCTTTCTTAACCTCTCAAAGGGAAGGGAGTGTTTTGTTTGCCATTACTGCATCAGATCGGGATTCTTAGAGATGATATTTGTGGTTTTGAACAGCCATGACAGATGGCCTTTCCTTGGTACAGCCACAAGGCAGAGCTAGCGATGGGATCATTATGGGTCCTGTTACTGGGCCTGTTCGGGTGAGGTTGGGGTGGTGGTGGTGGTATGGGTAGTACCATAGGTGAAGTAAGTATGATACATGTAAGACCAAGTGCAGAATATAAGTTTTTATTGGCTACAAATCTCCTTTGTGTCATGAAATATACATGTGAAGGAGAAACTCTCTTGAATGGAGGTCAGGGATAAATTCCAGTCATTTTCCAGATTGAGTGACCAAGACCCTGGTTACTTTTGATTTGCAAGAGGTTTTTCAGGCACACTGTCTTTGCTAAAAAGATTGTGTATCTGTACTAATGTAAGACAATTTGGGAAAGCTATTTCTTCAGAAAGCCTCCCTTTCATTTACCATTTTACAGTGTCTGTTATGCCTTTGTTTTCATTCATTCTGTGAAAGCAGAAAGTGAGGCCTGAAATGTTGGCTCTTAGAGCTTCATCCCATCTGGGCTAGTTTCCTGAAGCTTCCTAGTCACTGTCATTCATTGAGGCTCAGAGAATTGAGGCTCTTTGAAAGGGTGAAGGTTTCTTGAGACACATGTTGCCCCCAGGCTGTTGGGAGTGTGCCCATGAAGCATCTGGGGTTCTGATTGGTCTAGTTCTCCTCTTTGGGCCTGTTCCTCTGTCATGGTCCTAGTGGATCTGATCTTTCCATTGTTGACTCTCCATTATTCATGTGTACCCTGACACATTCACCCCCTTTCTTCTCTCACCTCTGGGCATGTGCTGCTCACTTCCAAGAGTCCACCATATAGGATCTTCAGCCTCTCCTTGTTTTCTTCCTACTATATGCCATGTCCATGTGTCCCCAGTCAGTGGTAAGCAGTTCCTCTTGACATCACCCAACATCTTTACTGTATTTAAATGTTGTTGGTTTTCCCCTTAGAAAATGCTGTCTCACATGGAAATAGCACTTGTCATCCAAATTGGAAACAGGGTTTGGAGCCAGGAGTCATATGGCAGGCACTTGGATACCCTGGAAGTGACAAACTATCATCTTGGAAATACATCCTCTTACTCCCATTTGTTACTGCCATTTAGTCACAGCAGGTACCTGTCTTGGTTGGCCTACTTCTGCTTCACTATCTTGCCTCCTTTTGTGACCCATATGGACTCCCAGACCACCTGCTTCATTCCACGTTGCTTCTGCCATGCCCTAGACCTTGTCCAACAGGCTTGGACCTGTCATCACATTGAACTTGGCCTCTTTAAACAGGTAAGCACACATCTTAAGTAGAGCTGATATCTTCCATGTCTCTAGATCTGCCTATTCTGGAGGCCACTGGTTGTCCTACCCTCCAGTTCTCATCAGTCATCCTGGGCTCCCTGGTAACAGTAGACTTCATCTCCACTTCTATAGTCACCCTTCATCGCTGCTTTTGCTCTCATTTTGGCCACCAAACCTACTAGAGAGAGACACTTTACCTGTCTCACATGACCCATATGAGGCATTCCACAGTGACTATCTTTTGTGTTTTTTCAGCATATTTCTCTGTAGCCCTTGACCTCCCAATTTACACCTCTCATTCCTCAGTGCTTGCCCTGTCCTGTAAGACAAAGGCTATTAGAATACCCACATCTCTCAGTGGCTGTATTTTCAACAGGGCCGCCCATTATGATCACCTAGGGAGACTTAAAAAAACTAATCCCTGCCAGGTATGGTGGCAGCCACCTATAATCCCAGCATTCTGGGAGGCTGAGGCAGAAGGATCATCATGTTCTAGCCCAGCCTGGGCAATTTAGGGAGGCCTTGTCACATACAAAAAAATAAAACGCTGGAGATACAGCTCAGTGCAAAGACCTGGGTTTAATTTCTAGTACCCCTACTACCACTACCACACACACACACATAGGTAACATGTAGCACATGCCTGTAATCCTAGCTAATGAGGCAGAGTCAGGAAGATGAAAAGCTCAAGGGTAGTCTGGGCAACATAGCAAGATCCTGTCTCAAAATGAAAATAAAGGGCTGGGTGTGTAGCTCAGAGATAGAATGTTTTCCCAGCATGCATAAGGTCCTGAGTTCAGTCATGAAAACAAGTCCCCCCAACCAACCAATTCCTACATGTTGCTCCCCAGAGATTTTGGCCTGGGCATTAGGATTTTTAACCACTTAACTAAAGTTTCCCTCTAGTGTCACTCAGGCAGATGTCTTTTCAACCAGTCAATTCTTGTACTGATGAACTGGATAGATTGTCACTTTTATATTTCCTGTTATAAACAAAAATATGCTATTTTTGGTTATCCTAAATTTAAATAATTGGTAAGTGGTTAAGTCTCCTCAGATGATTGTCATGCTCAGCTGAGGCTGAAACCCATTATTTTTGAAGCTCTGTCTCACTCACTTTTCCTTAGCAGGAGAGACACTGGGGACCCTTCCCAGGCAGACTCCTCTCTGGTCTTCATTGTATTCTACATCTTTCCCCTGTACCCTGCCAGGACTTGATCCCCCTATACATTGTCTATAATCCCCAGTCTCTTCCTGTTTAGCCTCTAGTTAGGAACACACAGATCTTAAAGTAAAATTCCAAAGAGAATGAGCAAACTATAACCACAGACAATACAGCATGCTATAAACATGATGTTGAAAATACACAAGAAGCCAGCACGTACTGCATGATTATATAATCCAAAGGGACTCAAAATTTTAAGTTTGTCATTATAGTGTTATAATATAGGATAAAACCAAGACATGGAGGGAGGGAAAGAGGTTGGAAGAAGAAGACATGTTATTATGTACATGTACCATCCCACCATGTGATCATTATGTGGTGCAAACATGTACTAAAAAAAAAAAAAAAACTTTGGGTAGTGTTTACCTTTGGTGGTTGGGAGTGAGGGTGATTAACAAGGAGGAGAAGACTATTAGGGTGTGTGTAATGTTCAGTTTCTTAATCTGGGTGCTGCAATGCAGTTTGTAGAAGTGCAATGAGCTGCACCTTTATGGTTTGTGTGCTTTTTTTCAATGTATATACTTGAACAAATACATAAATAAGTGACAGTTCAGCCTGGCCTGTATTATTACGTATTGTATTGAACAACACTCATTTATATTAATGTGGTCCATCATTTCAGAGGTGAGCTTGGTTCATCATTCTAACTCATGTACAATTTTGCTGTGGTGGCGTTTGGGAAGTGAATTTAGCGGCTGCCATCCCACTTCTGGAAATACAACCACCTTCCTGAGAGTCCATGTAAACAATCATAAATGAGAACTCGTAATTTTCTCACAGACCCTGTAGGACGAATCACTACGAATGCGACCCTACAGAATTCAGGATGGACCACGGGTAAATTCAGAATGAAACAAAATGTAACGATTACCCCCAAACAAAAAGGAATAAAAAACTGCCTTTTAAAGTGAGATACGCAACAGAACCATGCATCCCATTAAGGCCATACAATTCTTATAGGTAATGAAAGCGCTGAAGAGGCTCAAACTGAATAGGAAAATTAATTTAGCAAAAGTGGCATTACAGAACCAAACGGTCCAAATCCCCCAAAAGGAACGTGGTCTAACAACGCCCGTGTACTGTAGGACCTGTGTCTCGGACGCCGTAGCGCGAGGAAAAGTAATTGTCTGGGCCGCAAGGCCGAGCTCAGAGTTCCGGACGTGCCGATCACGTGGCCGCGAGCCCTCATTTTTCGCCTTCCTGCAGCCCGGGTTACCGGCTGAGAAGCGCGCGGCGATGGCGTCACCCATCCGCGCAGACGCTTTAGTTTCCCTGGCAACCGCAGGCTGAGCGCAGCGGTTTAGGAGATGCTATCCCGGCGGCCTAAAGATCCCCTGCAGGTGGTGCGGCGCCGTAACCAGGAGTTGAAGCTACAGGTAAGCTGGGCGGTGCGGCTAGGGACCCTAGCCCGAGAAGGGGCAGGCTCTGCGGCGGGCGAGTGGACCCCAGGCATCCTACACCTCTTACATCTCCGGGCTTGACCCGGCTCTGAGCCTGCGGCTTCCAGCCGAACCCTAGCCTCTGGCGAAGCCTTCCGAACCTCATAACGTACCCGAGCACCCTCCTTCCCAAGCGCCCAGCCGCCGTTCCGACAGCTTCCCTCCCCTCCCAGCCTGAGCTCTCGGCGTCCTCCCCGCTGGCTCCCGCCCGCCCTCCGGCCTCTTCGCTAAAAGCTCGCTGCATCACGGGAGAAGTCAGGAATAGTCTCAGCATGTCAGAGCATTACGATCCGACAGACTGAACTACACAGGGAACACGAGTAACTTGTAAATACGAGAGAATAATAAATTTCCAAAGATAACCAAGTCACTGCAAAGGAGATAAAGATCACAAACATTTAAAAGTCGCAGTACTCAGGCGGGACGATGAGTAAAGAGGCCCTTCACGTTCGCTGTCCCAGTGCATAAAGTGCAGCGTTTCTGAACAGCAGTTTGATAGAATGCTGCGAATATCCAGTCTCCTGGGCTGGGTAATTACATTTCCAAGAATCTACCGTGTGAAATAATGAAAAATTGGGACAAAGATTGACGAAAAGATATTCATCACATTACTGCTTATAATAGAAAAAAATACTGTCTCAACTAGTAATAGAAAATTGGATACATAACTTAGGATGGGATAGACTAATACTGTGACAAATTTGTTAAAGAAATTTTAATGTGTAGGGAAAATATGATAAAATGGCAACTGAGACATATAGAATAGAATATACAATGTTTCTGTTAGAGAAAAGATATAGAAAGGACACATAATGAAATGGTATCTGTGTGATTAAATACTAATGGTTATTGTTTTTCTTGTGTATATTTTCGTGTACTAAATGCTTATTTTAAAAAATAAGTAATAAAGTAAATAGTAATGGGCTGTTCATTTATTTTCTGAAATTTGTATTTTACTTTACTAATTGTACTTTTTTTTTTACAAATTGTACTTTTCAAAAGTGCAATTTACCACATATTTTTCCACTAAGTAAAATTATTATAAGTTCTTTGACAGATAAGAGATTTACTCATGTTCATATTTTATGCTGTTTTGGGCTTTTATTTAAAAGTTCAAAATTTAAATGTTTCCACACTTGCCTAACATGTGCAAGATCCTATGTTCCATTTCCAGCATCAGCATGAGAGGAAAGAAAGAAAAATTTACATGCTTTCACCATAAAGAAGTAATAAATGTTTTAGGAGATAGGTATGTTTAACGTGATTGAAACATTGCACAGCGTATACATGTAATGAAATATCGATACCCCATAAATATAATTTTTTGGGTTTTCTATCAGTTAAAAATAAATTAAATTGAACAGTATGCAAAAAAATTTGGCAGATAAATTTAGGGAAAGTGACTTTGACAGCTAAAACTTAGTGAATTTTAGTAACTTTGGAATCAGCAGTGCAACAAAAACAAAATATTCTTCTAGTAGAAATAAAAGTAAAATTTTATGGGCACTGACTTTTGCTGAGTTTTGGTAGACTTAATATGATTTTTATCTAATTTTAAATTGGTGGGACATTAGAAGAACCAGGAAAAGTTTCAGAAGTAAACTATAAAAATAATTACTAAAGTAAACATAAAACAGACTATCATAAGGATTATTTAACGTGTATCAAATTGAATCAGGAGCATTTTAATACTTTGAGTATCTGGAAAGGACATTTTGATAATATTAGTTCTTTACTATCTCCACAACAGACACCTGAAGCTGAAAAAACAACAACAACAACAACAAAAAAGAATGCATTTCCAAGTCAGCATCCATGGACAAGGAATCCATTTCCTATTTGGGTCATGCCTTTGATGACTGGTTCTTTCCCTGGGTGTGTGATTTTGTAAATAGCATTCAGGTGGATGCCAAATAGGAAGCATAGAGGAGAAATTAGGGAAATTTTCTCTTTTCATCCACTGTCTTTTCATATAATCTGTAGAAAAGAAACCAGAGAAGTATGTGCCTTTTTGTGATATATTGGCAAAAGAATACATGTGATACATGTAGTGCTTGAAAAGTATCAAGTCAAGACAATGAAAGTCATGGTACACTTAATGCAGTGAATTCTACTCAGTAGTAAGGAGTAAACTAACACAACAATATAGAAGTATCTCAGACACATGGCATGGCGGAAAGACACAAAAATATATACTGTGTAAGTCCATTTTTATCAAAGTTGTGGAGCAGCCAAAGCTAAGATGGTGGTAAAAGAACAGGTTTGTCTCTGAAAGAATAGGTCAGGGATTTGCTGGAAGAGGCAACAGGAACTTTCTAAGGTAATTTCCTATATCTTGATAAGGATTTGGGTTATATAAGTTATGCATTTGTCAAAATGTGGCAAAGGTACACTTTAGATTTGTGCATCTGATATGTAAATTTTATATCAAATGTTGAACTCTAATTAGTGACACCCCAAGTTCATTATTTAGGGAGAGGTGTACTAATGACTACAGTTTGCTTCAAAATGCATAAAAAATAAGATGGATTCATGTATAGATATACCAAATAGGCATAGTAAAATGTTAGTGATAGAATCTAGTTATGGGTGCATCAGTATTTACTGTAAAATTCTTTCAACTTTATTATTGTGTGTTTAAAGTCATTCATTCTATATTGGAGATAAAAAGAGAAGTAAAATTTTATTTCCTAAGGTGATATTTTAAACTGTCTGCGTTTGCCATAGGTTGATAGTTTGCTTTCTGAAAACCAATGGAAAGGAGCTCTAGAACCCAATAAAAGACAAGATATCTACCAAAGGTAAAGTATGCTAAATTATATGAGCCTTCCAGGCACTGCACCTACATTTCAATGAGTAAGATTTAAGGCACTGAAATCATTTCAAGCTTTCTTTTTTTCATTCTTTCTTTCCTCCCTCCCCTAGAAGAGTTTAATTTTTTTTTTTTTTTTTTGTGCCAGGGATTGAACTCTGGATCTTGCTCTTTCGAGGCAAGCAGTGGAACCACTGAGCTAAATCCTTGGCCCTAGAAGAATTTAAAATTAAGTACACATTTCATCCCCTAAACTGAATTCAAGTATTAATACTTTTGCATCAATTATAAAACATCATTAAAATAATCTGTGTCTTGGGGGTATTTAAAGTTTATAACATTCAAAAGAACATGAGATTCATCCTATTTAAATTATCTATTAGAATTATTTGAAAAAGTTGTACTTCAGTTAGACATTCAGTACACCTAGAAATAAAATAAAATATAAATCAATTTTTTAAATGGTAAATGGAATTTAATTTATAATTATTAGTAGGATTGATTGTTTAAAGAAAATATGAAGTTGGTTGCACTTTCTTTGCCAGATTTAAAATAGAATAATGTTTATGCTGAATTTGAAGTCCCTGGGGAAAGTCAGTTTTTAAATTTTATTTTAATAAGCTGTGTATAAAAAGATCCCCTCACAGTCATTTATAAATTTACATTAATACCTTCAAAAATACTCTGAAAATGTGTGTGTGTGTGTGTGTGTGTGTGTGTGTGTGTATCTGGGAATTGAACCTAGGGCTTTTGCACTGAACTACATCTCTACCCTTCTGAAATTTTTTATTTTGAGACAACACCTTGCTATCACACTAAATTGCTCAGGCTGGACTTGAACTTTGCTGTCCTGTCTCAGCCTCCCAGAGCACTGGGATCACAAGTGTGTGCCACTGTGTCCAGCTCCTGAAAATGTCATTTTACCCGTAGGTTTTATTAATAGTTAGCAGGACATAGAGTTAAAAATAATATCTACTTAAACCTTTGAAGATGTTCAGTTTATTTTTTTTGTTGTTTTGTTTTTTGTTTTGCATGCAGTGGTGCAGATAAGTCTGATTATCATTCTCTGATAATTGGCTGTTTGAGATTTTTTTTCTTCAGCTTTGGTGTTCTGGAATTTCCTCACAGTATAGTTTTGTGTCATTTTTATCCTCTCAACGTTCACTGGGTATCTTCAGTCTGAAATTTTATGTCTCTTATGAGCTCTAGGAAGGTTTATTTCACTGAAAATCATTTCTGTGCTTCCATTTGTCTAGGTCTTCCTGAAACACGTTTGAATCAGGTGTGAGTTTCACGGGATCCTTAGCTCTCTTCTCCTGATAGTCTTCTCTTCTGTGTTCCTTTGCAACTGGAAGATTATTTTGACTTCTTGTAAATTTTCCATGGATATTTTATTTCAGCCATGAATTGATAACTTACTAGTTTTTTTCTTCTCTTAAGTTGTTCTTTTTCTTTAGCATCATGTTCCTGTTTTCAGATAATCCCCTTCTCGCTTCTACAATTAGGAGGTTTGCTTTCAAGTTCTCTGTTATCTGAATTGTCTTTGCTTCCTCTAGGTTCAAACTCTTACCTGACTGTCTGTCTATCTATTTTTAGCTAGTCTTTTTTTTTTTTTTTTTTTTTTTTTTAAGAGAAGGGGTCTTGCTGTGTAGTTCAGGCTGGCCTTGAATTCACCATGTATCCCAGTCTGGTTTTGAACTTGTAGCAATCCTCCCACCTCAGCCATCAAAGCTCTGGAATAACAGGTGTGCCCCACCACACCCACTTGATCTTAAATTTTATCCTCATGTTGCTAGTTTTCTTTATTATGTATCATGGTCCTTTGCTACTCATTTAATTTATGAATGAGGGACCAGGTGGATTCTAGAGAGCTTTCTTGGGTTCTTGTGGTGTTGATTAGTGGCATCTTTCCTATTAGCACTGTCTCCTGAAGGGGAATGAAATTCTTTGCATGTGGGCAGGGCTTCTCAGTGGCTGGGAACCAGTCTTTGGTCTGAGGAGCACCCAGTGCCAGAAGAGGGTGGGCTTTTAACCCTGTTGTGCAAGATACTTCTTTAGCAATTGTGGTTCTCCCCAAGTCACTCATCATCATCATCATTTAGAGAATAATCATCTGGTATAAAAGGAGAACTGAGAGGGGTGAAGTAATAGAAAAAGGAGCTCACAGGTTCAGGATTTCTGTAAACAGACTTTTGAGAAAGTCACTAGACTTTTTACAGAAGAGCCTTTACTAAACCTCAGTGTGTCTTCCCTAAATGAGCTAAAGGTTTTAGATTGCTTTCACACTGATTTCCCATCTCAAAGCTTAAATATATGGACATGATTTAATTTATACAAGAGAATATACACCCGTGTGTATTTCTGTATGTAATGCCAGATTACTGTAAATAGCAAAGCCCAGCCATCATGTGTATCTTTTCATCTAGAACTTCTTGATGTGTCAACCTACACAGATTTTAAGGAGCCCTCCCTCCATGCTTTCTGTCTGCCTACCCAAATCCTGGCCTTTTCTGCTGGTAGGCCATGTCCCCATTGTGCCTATGAGGCTGCTTCCTCTGTCATAGAGGAACATACCTCCAGCCTTTCTCCTTTTGGGGGGAAATTTGTCCACATCCCTTGTTGGCTTGTGGTCATTCTTCCATTCTTTGCAGTATGCGGGTTATTTCCTTTGAAAATGTTCTCATCCTTTTTTGTGGGGTTTCAGGAGGAGTGAAAATATGTGTATGTGTAGACTGTGTGTGAACCAGGAGTCTTAACTAACTTAACTGAGCTGTGTGAGATTTAATTTTACCAACATCAAGAAGATCATTTTAATTATTTGGTGGTTTTTGAATGTATTATATAAAAATCGTTTTCCACTCTGGCTCTTCAGTGAAATTTCTGAGTCTGTTTCACTAAAGATTCTTTTGGTCAAGTAATAGGAAAGCTGTCAGAATAAGCAGCTTTTACTGTGAGTCTTGTTTGACAGGAAGTCTGCAGCTAGTCTCCTGTGGTTCATCCATGGCTTGTGACATCTTCAAAGTCCAGCTGTTGGTGACACGCCCTCTGCCACCCTGAGGTTGTTCATGATGCTTCTCACAGTGACAAAGCCTATTAACAGCAGCACAGGGAGGACACACGGGAGGCACTTCTCGCCCACTTTGCTGCTTTTATGATTCTTTAGCCACCCAGGCCCAGGCCCAGTGGAGGCTGAGGATGTAGATTTTATGGAGAGCTGTGTCCAGAGAAGAGGAGGGACAGGAGGAGATGACCACAGGATCAGCCATTCTTGATGTTTCCGCCTCTCTTTTTCTGCCCCTTTCACAAAGGATTTTTGACCCCTTTTCCCTTTGCCCTATTCCATTTCATTTTACTTACATCTGTAATAAAAAATAAAACTCAAATAACATATATTAAAAAAATAGAAGCTATGGCTTCGAATACTGAAAAAGTATTTGATCTTTTAAAGGCTCATCATTAGTTATAGCCCATTTTGGGTTATTTTTACATGTCTTCTTTGGGTATCTAAGATTTACACTAAATTCTGTAAGCTGTCTTAACTAAGACACTGTGCCTATATGGACAGGCCAAGTTCAAAAAGAAGAGTATGGCATTGTGTGAATAGGTCAGTTGCAGAATCCTTCATTGACTCTGCCACTGACTAAACATGGGGCTCTTTTTTTTTTTTTTTATCTCTTTTTGGCTTAGAATACAGGGCCTTCACACTGAGCTACAGCCCCATCTTCGTTTTTGTTTTTGTTTTTGGCATCGGTGATTGAACTCAGGTCCATGTGCTTGTGAGGCAGGCGACAGAACCACTGTGCTGAATTGCCCTTCCTCCTCCTCCTCTCTCTCTCTCTCTCACTTTCTCTCTCTCTCTCCCTCTCTCTCTCTCTTTCTCTCTCTCTCTCTTTCTTTTTCGTACCAGGTATCAAACTCGGGCCCTTGTGCTTTCAAGGCAGGCACCAGAACCACTGAGCTAAATCCCCAGCCCCCCATCTTTGTGGTTTTATTTGGCGACAGGTCTGAGTTGCCCAGGTTGTGCTTGAATTTGCAGCATTCCTGCCTCAGCCTCCCAGAGTGCTAGAATTACAGTCATGTGACACTGTGCCTGGCCCACATGAATCTTTTTAGAAACTGACTCTCCATTTGGAATGAGAGTTGTTAAGACATTGAAATGAGGTGGTTTGTAAATGCCAGGCACACAGTCAGTAACTATGTTACTTATGTCTCTGGTTCTATCCTCAGTCTGTGGAATTGTCATGATGAAGAAGTATCTAAAATCTTGTGTTTTTCCTGGAGTCACAGAAGCTTGTGGTTATCCTGTCGAGTACCTTAGAGCTTGGCTGTAGAGCAGTGATGGGGATCTTATGGCATGCATGCCACAGTGGACATGCAGAGCCCTCTCAGTTAGCATGGGAGCCTCACCACCCCAGCAGCTGATCTCAGATACTCAGGTTTAATCGCAGCATTGGCACTTTGTAATAAGTGGGCTTTGGGTTGCAGTCTGGGCATTTGGTCTCCAAGGTTTGCCATCACTGCTATAAAGGATCATCAAAGCTAATGGGTAGAAAAGCATTTACTATGAATTTTAAAACATTATTCATGCAATAGCTAAAATAGCTTTCTGATTCTTATAATAGTAAGCCAATGTGTTTTCTTTCTTTTTTAAAATTTAGATGTATTCAGTTAAAACAGGCAATAGATGAAAATAAAACCACTCTTCAAAAATTAAAGAAGGTAAGTATTACAGTTACTCACATTACAAAAAAAAATCTCTTATTAAGATATTTTCACTAAGTGGGAATGAAGTGAAGTTGGTGAGTCCCTGGGTTTGCGTTAAGGACCTACAAGCTGCCCAGCAGGTTGCTAAGTTGTCTGCCATAGGGCAGAAATGCCAGAGCTCAGGATACTGAAAAACAAAACCAGCTCTGGTGAGCTCACACAGCACGGAAGACTCAGAAAATTTTTAAAAATTGTAGCACTTTGTGAGGTATGGGGGATGCCGAGTAGAACTGTTTCTGTTTTAACCCTATCATGGGGAGAGAATACACACTCTGATCCTGAGGTAAATGGTGATGAAGGCCCTGCATCACATGGCAGCAGCTCTAGTGTCAGTGACCCTGCAGAAATGGGAATGAGATTTTGCCCTCGGTGATCCCTTCAGGATCCTTTGTGGTTGAGCCTGAGCTTCAACCAGGTGTCTAGGGCTGGAGACCCACAGAGACTTAAGGTAGAAGGTGCCCGAAGTCACCTCCCTGCCTACACCTGAATCCTTCTTGCTGTATCTGGGCTTTTCTGTTTCTCAAGAGACACAAAGTTTTCAACTTAGGAGGCAGATGGACCCTAAATTTGCAAACTTAATTTTTCTTGTTTCACATAAGAAAAAACAGGCTCTGCCAAGTGAAGAAGCCAGATCTCTCTGTCAGTAAGTGGCAGAATTTGGGACTGGTCCTTACATTCTGGCTCTAAAGCCAGTCTTCTGTCACAGCTTGTCCCGTACTGACCAGGGAGCATCTGTGATCCTTAGCACGAAAAGAAAGAAAAGCCAGAAACAAGTGGTGTCACTGTAGTTTTCATTAGGTTTGCATTCCAGCTCAATGAACCATATTTCTTTAACTCACTTATTTCTGTAAGGCAAATATCATCTCACAGTGATGTTTATTTTGCTTTATAGCATTTAGTGGAGTTTTTGTTTCATTCTTTTAAAATAGATATTAGGGAAGTGGAATTAAACTCTCAGTGAACTAGATCTGTGTTTTCCCATAGGCTGATGAAGCTGCACCTGTTGGGAACTATGATCAGAGGAAAGAAGAGGAGCAGGCCCTCCTGGAAAAGCTTACCCATCAACTGCAGGAACTTGCTGTGGCCATAAGTAAAGAAAATATGACTAAGTATGCCTCATTCCTCCTTCCTTCATTTTTTTTTTTTTTTTTTT